TAAGATTCCTTCAGTATCTCTTTAAAGTCCAGTTGTTTGGCGTCCTTGTTTAGGAGGATGCGTCCTTTCTTGTTGGGGCTTTCTTCAGTTAGTCTCGTTTTTGTGTTTTCTATCAACTCTGAACAGTTGTTTCGTGATGCTCTATTTCGCTCGTGTGTGTCTAACTCTGACCAGATATGGATATCTTTATCCCCTGTGAGTTTGCCTTTGATTGGCGTTCTTTTCTTAAATCCACCTTCGGCTGGTACCTTTTGTTAAGAGTTCCCTTCGGCTGGTCTCTTTTCATTGTAAATTCGCCTTTGATTGGCGTTCTTTTCTTATGAATCTACCTTCGGCATAGTATTCCTTGATGAAGATTTCCCTTTCGGTGGTTTATTTATCTTGAAGTCCACCTTCGACTGGCACCCTTAAAATCCACCTTCGGCTGGTACCTTTTGTCAGGAGTCCCCTTCGGCTGGTCTCTTTTCATTGTAAGTTCGCCTTTGATTGGCGTTCTTTCCTTGGGAATCTACCTCGGCATAATATTCCTTGTTAAAAGATTCCACTTCAGATGGTTTCTTTATCTTGAAGTCCACCTTCGGCTGGCACCCTTAAAATCCACCTTTGGCTGATATCATTTGTTAAGAGTCCCCTCAAGTGAGTCTCTTTTCATTGTAAGTTCGCCTTTAATTGGCGTTCTTTCCCTAGGAATCTACCTTCGGCATAATATTCCTTGATGAAGATTCCCCTTCGGTTGGTTTCTTTATCTTGAAGTCCACCTTCGACTGGCACCCTTAAAATCTACCTTCGGCTGGTACCTTCTGTTGAGAGTCACCCTTGGCTGGTTTCTTTTCTTGAATTCCACCTTCGGCTGGCACCCTTAAAATCCACCTTTGGCTAGTATCATTTGTTAAGATTCCCCTTCGGCTGGTCTCTTTTCATTGTAAGTTTTCCTTTGATTGGCGTTCTTTCCCTAGGAATCTACCTTCGACATAGTATTCCTTGATGAAGATTCCCCTTCGGCTGGTTTCTTTATCTTGAAGTCCACCTTCGGCTGGAACCCTTAAAATCCACCTTCGGCTGGTACCTTCTGTTGAGAGTCACCTTCGGCTGGTCTTTTCATCGCAGGTTCGCCTTTGTGCGGTGTTATTTTCTTAGGAATCTACCTTCGACATAGTATTCCTTGTTAAAGATTCCCCTTCGGCTGGTTTCTTTATCTTGAAGTCCACCTTCGGCTGGTACCCGTTAAATCCACCTTCGACTGGTACCTTCTATTGAGAGTCCCCTTCGGCTGGTCTCTTTTCTTTGTAAATTTGCCCTTGACCGATATTCTTTCCCCTTAAAATCCACCTTCGGCTGGTATCATTTGTTAGGAGTCTCATTCGTTTGGTCTCTTTTCTTTGTAATTTCGCCTTCGATCGACGTTCTATTTAGAGTCAACGTATATTTATATCCCTAGTAAGTTCGCCTTTGATTGGCGTTTCCTTTGTTAGAGCTTTCTTCGGTCGATATCTTTCTTGTGTATGTCTAACCTTGACCTGACATCCGAGAGATTTACCCAGATAACTATTTCAATCCCAAAAAGCAAAAAAATAATAGAAAATACAGAAAACCAAAAATATAATAATTCCTGACTAGTTTTGGAGTGCAAATTTCTGGGTTCATTAAGTATTTAATCTTCTTCCACCCTGAAAGTTTGAAAGGCTAACGCCAATCTCACCTTCAGGTTGAAGGCGATTAAATAGGGGAAGCTATTGCACCCCATAATTTTCCCTCCTAATTTCTTTTATCTGGCTTAGACTTTTGCATTCACATCTTTTCATTAGGTCATCTGCACTAACATAGCATGTATTTACATTGAATAAAGCGTCGGAGGTTCAGAAGTTTGGCAGGTGTACAAGCTAAGGTTTTTACAATGAACTGAGATATAAATGTTCAATAAAGTTTGAGTTCCTTGGTTCATTCCTCAAGTGGTGAATTATGAATTATGTCCTCCTCTTCCTAAACACATGTTTTTGTGCATGATATAAGATGTGGCGCCATTGATAGGGTTCAAGTCATTCAGTTGGATTTCTTTCAAAGGCATGTGCATCATGCATGTGGTTCTTGCGAATCATGGAGTAAGAAGCTTCATTTTTATGCTTATGCTTATCATCGAAACTAGGGCTCGTCTCCCAATTCATGTGTCTCACTACCATCCAAGGGTCGATTCGATCAATTACTTGGATTACAAGGCATAAAACATGGTTTTGATACAAGAGAATAAAGTTTAGATTCGTCTATATTTCACTCCATCAATTAGAGATCTGTGTATCATGTTCCAAAGTTACTTTTCTGGTTAACTTTGGGCTTAGGATGTAAAGCATTCTGGAGTTGAGATTCAATTATGAGTCTATGGGTTCCTTAATCAAGCACGCCATTTGAAGCTACCTGAGATTCAACTTGTCATGAACGTTCAAGTTACAGGTGAGGATTGATTTAAGATGAACATGGAATGGAAGGTTTTAATATGGTTCGAGAATAATTCACTTAACTTTCTTGGAGAACCAGTTAAAAGTGATGTTCTATTGATTGAGGTTAAGGTGTTCGCATCCAATAAAAGCTCATTTCTTCTGATTCTTTTGGTTAATTCTTCAAGCAGTGAAGTGAGGAATTAGGGTTTCTAATCCTTTATGGTCAGGCTTGGTTGGGTTTTCGTCTGAGGTGTATTTCTAAATACAATCAAGTGATTTTCTCAAGGATGAATATTTAGATTTAAGATTTTCTTTGTCGAGGATGAATCAAGTCATCTTCTGACATGGGGTTTTCATCCTTTAGTCAAGTGTGGTTTATCTAATAATGGCTATTGGAGACTCGTCTTTCATCAATTCAAGGCATGCTTGTTGTTTAAATCACAAGGTACTGATTATGGCATTAATGCACTAGATTCATCTTTTCTTCAGTCAATCAATCAGAGTTGGATACATAGTGATCCTAGGTACATTGTCTGATAAGTTTTTGTTTCTCAAGACTCGATTCGTGAATAATTGGTACAAGACAGTCCCTTTAGGATGTTCATTCGAAGCCTCTAGGTTCAATTTGGGTTGCTAAAGTCCATAATCGATAGATCATTAGAATGTTGAGGTTTTAGCAAAGGAAGTGAATTTCATTTAAGCATCACTCAAGATTACATCTAATCCCATTCAAGTTTCTACTTTGACTACGTGGAATGCACAAAAGTGAGAAGTTAATACTCCAAAATAATTTGGATTGTTTGACAAGTATCTTGTTGAACTCACATCATGATCACATGATATTATGCAAGACATTAATTAAAGTAAATCATATTTTCAAGTTCAATTTGAAAGAGGAGAATGCTTTGAATAATAGGTATTTCGGCATTTAAAGTCAAGAGTTTGCAAGGTTACATAATCATTTAAGTTGCATTCGTATCTTCATTCAAGTTCTATTTTTCCATTACAAGAAGACTGCAAACATTATTCCATCATCATTTTCAAAGGGAAATGAAATTGTATATGATTACATTCAAAGTGCATCAAATACATGAAAAAAAACTACATAAATATATGCCTATCCCTAACACCAATCTTCATCTTCAGTGGTCTTCATGTTTTCTTTTCCAGACTGTTCAATAACTTCTCCGTTTACATCTACTACTTCTTCAATTCTCTTCAAGTCCTCCATGATCAAGGTAACTTTGCAATTTGGTTCTCGCCCTTAACGTCAAGCCTGCATGCTGCATACGATTAGCAACCATCCAAAACCAATTCGGAAATCAAAGTTATCTTGCAAAACAAAAAATTGAAGGAAAAATCAGAATTGGCAGCTCAACTTATGAAAAGAGAAATTCAAGAAAGAATATTAGAAATTCAATCAGGAGATATCAGAAGGAAAAGAGACTATGTTCCATTCATCAATAAATCAGCCCTTGTTTCAATACTGTGCATCAGTTTTAAATCAGAAAAGGTGATATAATAAAACCCAAAAATCAGAAAATAATGGGAAAATAGAAATAGGCCAGAACTGACAGTTAACTGTCAAACTAACAGGAAATAGAAGACTAGTCCAGTTATCAGGAAAATATAAAAAGAAACCATGTGAACAGAATAACAAAAATCCAGCTCAGCATAATAGAAAATAACAGAAATTCAACAACCAACTAACCATCATTAATCCCTAAACCTACTCGTCAAATAAACACTTAATTTTTTTTCAGTTTTAAGGTCTTAACATAATTGCTAATTTTCCAGTTCATACAACCGATTCCTAACCGAACTACCAAACTGATTTCTTAACAGATTTCTGCATAACTCTTCCATCCCTAACTGTTAACTAATATTCTAACCTCCTAACTGAATCAAAATTGTCTCCAACAAAAATCCAGCTCAGTATCTGATGCAATCCTAGCCATCTATTTTGGAAACAAACTTTTGAAAGCCAGGGAGGGATTTTTCATTCTTGGGAATCACAGAAATCACAACCAAGAAACACAGAAAAATTCTCTCCCTCTTCAATCTCCATTTTCTCTCACTTTCATCTTCATCCTCTTCCTTCAATCTTCAGAAAAGAACCGCAAATTCTTTATTCTGCAATAGAATCGCAAAAATACTCCTTCTTCTCCTTTCACCTTCATCACCAATCCTCGTTCTCCCTAAGCTGATTCTTCAAGCATAAAAACATCTTCATCTTCTACTTCAACATCAATCTTCGTTCTGTATCTACGGAAATAACGCAAATTGCCATCATCATCATCATCATCTTCATTGCTAATTCCACCTGTTATCAACGACGTATCACTACAAGTGCAACGTCATTGCAGTAACAAAAATGCAGAAATGTGGAAATTCAGGGGAAGAAGATTCAAAATCGCAAGCAAAAATAAGAATAACCGAGAATGAAATGCTTGCCTGGAAAAGTGTATTATTATCTACGTATTTTTGGTAGGGTCCTCGTCATCGCAAAAACGCCAGACTTCTCTCTAGTAGATGAAACCGTCGATCTGAGAAGAAGGTGAAGGTCGGATGACAAAATCACTAGTGATGAAGGTATTTGTGCCACGGAATTTGAAAGGAGATATGGAGTTTTTTGCGATAGCGAGGAGGAGATTTGTTGATCAGAAGGAGATCACAATGTTGAGACAAACCCCGATTGAGAGGGTGACGAACGAAATGTGTGGTCATGGAGGAACTGTGTGATTACGGTGGCGATGTAAGGGATTTGAAGAAGATTCAGGATTTGAAGGAGAAAGAACTTGCATTTCTGGGGAGCTGAAGCATCGCACAATGTTGAACCCTAACACTAATCTTCCCCAAAACGACCATGTGTTCCCTTGTTGTTTTTTCAATTTTTTATCTTCATTGTCACTGCATTTTTTATTCAATAGGATTTGATACATTATGCTGAAGAAATAAGATGGGGTTGGATTTGGAGTGTGGACCGAGTTCCACTAGGCCCATCATGTTTTTTGGGAACCATTGGTGGAGAAAATAAAGCGCTTAGGCTCATGGTGGTTGGATTGAAGCAACCAGACCCATTTCCGGTTTTTTTTGTGAAGTCTGAAACTATGGGGGCAAAAGAAAAAAGCTGCTTTTGGATCACATTGTTGGGCCTTAGCGCCAACTTACTCCACCATAGGCCCTAATCCGATTTTTGCACCCCCTGGGGCCTTGTTTTTTCTTATTTTGTCAATTTTGTTGAATAAAGTTGTTAATTGTTTAGATTTGTTCTATTTTTCTCATGACAAAAAAATAATAAAATCAGTAAAACTTGTTAGATTTTTTATTTGATTTTGGGAATTATATCGGGATTATTCGATTACTTGGGATTTGTAATTCACCTTTGCTTATTGAGATTTGAGTCTTATGCAGGTTTATCGTGTGATATGGAGATATGCTTGATTTTTCGATTGTGATTTATTTTCACATCGATGATGCTTCGATGCTTATTCCAAGAATTTGATTTCCAACTCTTTTCTTTTATTGGTGAAGTTCTCGCGAAGATGGTCAGGTTTCTTTGTTTCGATACACTTCTCTACTGATTGATATCTGTTTGGTATTTTCTCTTATTTATCTCATTTCAGCATTTATCACTTTCTAGATATCATGAGAAGTGGGAAATAAAGAGCGTGCGCTCGAAGTCGTTGTTTAAAGACCTGTAGCAGGCATTCCGAACTTCATTTGCTATATGTGTTGTGCTTGTGTTTGTTTCCTTGGTTGTTGATTGATGAGTCACTCAATTTAGAAATTGAGATCACGACTTCGCTCTCAGTGCATGCTCCCTATAGGGTTTTATCTCTTTCCTTGATTTCTTGTTGACTGATGATTCACTTAATTTAGATATTGAGATCACGACATCACTCTCATTGCATGTTTCCTATAGGATAGTTTTGTTAGACTTTCTTTGGCATGCTAGTCTAGACAGGATCTCTCTAGGTGGGCTCTCTTGAGCTTATTGTCTTGCTTGCTGGATTTCGTCTTTGTGTGCATGTTTTGAGATGATATACCCTCGGCATGTTCCCTTAGGAGCTCTCGATTCAACTATAGATGATGATTCGAGATAGACATGGTTTTAGGTGATAGACCCTTGCTATGCTCCTTTAGGACTTCTTGATTCATCTATAGATGATGAGTCGAGATAGACATTAGGATTGTTATCCAATCATGTTAACATAAGGTAGATATTTCCCTTCAAAACTCAACCATAGGACCATCATTGTATGATAACATTAGGGATTAGATTCAGGCTAGTTTCCCTTAGATGTTTTTTCTTTTCTTTTGCATCCTTGCATTTAAAACAAAAACTCTTTTTCTTGGCAAATGCATAAAATATCTAATAATTTTCAAATCCCTCGTTAAGGTAAAAAATATCAACCAATGCAAACTCTTTTGTGCCTTCGGGCTTTGTGTTCAAATTCTTTTCAGAAAGAACATGTTAATTCACTTCTGGGATGACGCGTAAGTCTCCAAAGGTCGAGCTGCGGCAGAAGTCGAAATTAATATTGTTCATTAAAAAATACAAACCAACAAAACTTTTGAAGTTGAACTGCGATTGCTCTGATTCCTTAAAAGGGATACGTAGGTGTGATCGGTGGAAATAGAACTGACTGTTTTGGAATGCTGGTTCGCGAAATGTCGCGGTAAGCAAGAGTCGCCACCGTCTTTTATTTTCTCCAACAAGGAAAGGACAAAACCACAGCAAAATTCCTTTTCGAGATGTTTCTCGGTTCGGGAGGTAGATTATAGAAAGGGAAGGTATTAGCACCCTTTCTATCCGTGGTTATCCACGGGCTCTTAGGTACTTGCTCACTATGTTTTCAAAAATGTTTGCTTTTCTTGTGTTTGTGGGTTTTGAAAAGAGTTTCGTTTGAAAAAACATCGTTTTGACTCTTGTATCAGTCCTCAAGAGTGTATGAAGTGTTTGTTTGAAAACTTTTGTCAGAAAAGTGTAGGTGCGAAAAGTTGTTTTATTTTGAAAGAGCAAGTACCCAGGAGAAATCTACCTACTCAAAAGAAATTAAGCTGTGTAAATGTCCTTTAGACAGTACTATCCCACTATTAAGAAGTAGGTAGCACCGTCGTTGGAGTTATTCGGGTCAATTCGATTATAGGGACATGTGTGGTCACCAAAGCAATAGTAGGACGCCTTAGCGGTAACCCTAATGTCCTAGATCCTTTTTTATCTGAGGCAACCGTTTCGAGGCAACTTGGATCTTTAGACAGGAGGGCGACCTCTAAAACACCCTATACTCAATGACCACGTCGAGGCAACCAAGTGAGGCGTACCCTAGGAGTGGCATGTGCATGTGTGTCAGGTTTCATGTTAAGTTTATCTTTTCACATGTTATTGTGAGCTACGAGTTGATTTTATTTTTCAGGCAAGTCTTGTCATGCATAGTTAACAGTTAATAATTGTGCGGAAAGTAAATTGCGGAAAGTGAATCTACGCTATTACAAGGCGTCGGGTATTTACATCGCCAAAAACATAACCCTTGAAAAGTAAATGCGGAAAATAAAGAAAGCGATAAAAAGTCCTAATTATCTATTACATCCTCGGAGCAATTACACAAATATGATCCAAAATAATAATGCGCGAATAGAAATTGAATCGGGAAAAGTCCTTAGGGTTTTGACCCTTTTTTGAGAAAAGAATGAATTTTGGTCCTTTTTGTAATTAATTAAACCTAATTCTAATTAATTAAATAATTAAAAGAAAAAATATTTTTTAGTTTTTTTAATGTCTTAATGAAAATAAAAATAAAAGAAATTAAAAGTTGTCAAAACCCTAATTCTAATTTATTTTATTTATTATGAAAATGTCAAAATTAAACCTAATTAAACTAAATTGATTTGTTAGTATTTATTTACAAAATAATAAAGTGAAATTAATAAATAATAATAATAATAAAAATATTTACATTTTTTAGTTGTCTGAATTTATTATGGAAAATATTAATTAAGTTAATTAAATAATAATAATAGTTAATAAAAGAAAATAAAAGAAAGGGAAAATAAAAAGAAATAATAAACCAGGGGGGGTGATGGCCCAATATGGAGGTTAGAAAGAAATTCTGGGCCCATTAACGCACAAGTCTGTTTGACTTTGGAAATCCCCCATGCGCAGGGTTGACTGGGAGCATGGTGTTCTTCATCTCCTGGCCATTGGATTTGTGCATGTAGACACATGGCGTTTGGATGATTGAAGTGCATGGTGGAATGCTTTTAGGATGCATGCATGTGAACATGTTAAGAAAAGAAATATTAAGTATTTTGGGTGGACCTGGGGATCGAACCCAGGTCCCAATGATTACATGCCAGCACGTCCTCCACTACACCAACTTGCACGCTTTGTTAGTATAATGATAAACAAATATAATATTAAGAAACAAACAATATGCTGGACAAACAAATAAACGCGCGCCCTTTTTGAATGCTCCAACCAGAGGCTTACACGTCCTTCGTCTTCCTCATATTTCCTGTAAAACACAAACAGATAGTGGGGGTTTTTAACCCCCACAAAGCATCATGAGGAAAAATAGCGAATAGCCCTACAGGCTATATAAATATTTCGCGAAGGTAGCTTTGTGTTCGTCTGGCCTTGACGATTTCAACCATATGCATTAGGGGTCTCAATTTTTCCTGGATAATAAAGCCCTAATTTGAGAACTTATGAACCCTAGAATTCTCCAATGGTAACTTGGGATTTTATGCGTTTCAATGCAATTAAACTACATCATTAGCTTTGTACAGTTCCTATTAACACAAAACAATCAACAAAATATGTCAAATGCACATGAATAATGAGATGTGATTCTGAAAAAAATGTTCAAACCGTGAAACTGTTCTTGGGTATTCCTTGAGCTTTAGCACTTGGTTTGGATCGCAATATGTCTCTGGGAACCCCTGCAATGTATTAGAAACCACAAAAGCCTTTGAATCACATTGGAATGTGGAAATCAGTTTTCAAATTTCTTGGGATTTTCTTGAATGTTGTTATGGCTTTTTCTGCAGCAAATTCACGTCCAATGCATTAGGGTTGGCTTGTGTACTTATAGTAGAATAGAATTAGGTCAAATCCTTGAGCAAAGATCCGTGAAATAATGGTTTGAATATTTGATTTGCAATCATATCTTTTTGAATCTTTTTGATTGGAAAATTTTGCAAAACTTGGAGATTCTTGTCCCTTTGATTTGCACACGAATTTTCCAGCTTGATTAGGTCATTCTTGCTTCAAAAAAGATTGAAAAACCATATCTTTTGAATTTCTTACAATTTAAATTAATTAAATGAATTAAAATCAATTAAAAATCCAATTAATTAATAAAAATAAGAAAATAAATTCAAATAGGCTTGATGGGTCGTTCATAAGTCATGGATAAAGTTTCAAGAAGAAATTTGAGGCCCATTAGCAAAAACAAGGTGTTTTGAGCAAAGTTGACTTTTGCAAATTCATGAAAATTTTCCAACTTCTCCAATGCATATCTTGCTCAATTTTGATCATATGGACATGTTCTTGGACATTTTGGAAAGGTCTTGAAGTCCTCTAACCAATTCCTTTCGTCCCATGTCATTTGAATTTACCAATCTCAAGTTATGGTCTTTGACTGAAAGTGCATTTTTGTTGACTTTTAAATTTGACCTATAATGTAGAAATTGATAACTTTTTATGAGAGCATTTCTTGGACTTGGAGTGTGAAGATGGATTGTAGGAAATGTCATCCCCTTCAAAATGAGCATTGGATGGGATTTTTCTGATGAACCATGAAAAAGTTATGCCCTGGTCAAGATACAGTTGACTTTTCTACTGTCCAAAAATAGCAACTTTTGGCATCTTGATGATTTTTGAGCTATCCTTGTGGAATCATGATCAAGACTTGATCAAATGATGATTGTGGACTCAAAATAAGATGTTGACCAAAAATTCTGACTTTTAACTTCAAAATGACCATTTTACCCCTACAGTTGACTATGGATCAAATGGAGCTTTTGACTGTGCATTTTGGCACTGTGAGCCTTGAAACTTGACATGTAGATGCTTGAGAATGTATAGAGGCCTATGAGACTTGAATGAGCCATTGAAAACCTCAAATTCCTTGAAAGAACCAAAACCCTAATTTCAGCTAGCTTAAGAGGATGTTTGACTGTG